TTAATAAAGCGATGCGTGACTGCATTAATCAGGTAACGTAAGGTCTAAATATAGCGTTAATCTTCACCGCCGCCTCCAGTTGTTGGTGCAGCACCAGATTCAGATCCCTCTCGACCAGAAGCTTTCTTGGTACCTGATACAATGTCATCGATACGTAGAAGCAACATAGCAGTCTGTATAAAAAATAGATTTTAGTACAAAACCATTATAAAACATAATGACAATAATGATGACGATGATTAATGATGATGATGATATTAATACCTCAATRGCAGTCTTATAGGTCTGAGCCTTAACTGAGTAAGTATCCCAGACTCCTTTCTCAGTCATATTCACTATTTCACCACTTTCGCCATCCACGCCCCAAGTAGTATTACCTTTGACGGCATGCTTGGCCTGTTAGAATAAATAATTTAATAACAATTCAAGCAAATAACATTATGGGGTGGTGTAACATGCACATGTTTTTCTAACCCTGAGAGCAGTTAGTGTCCTGATAGTGTTTGCGCCACAGTTTTGAATCAGTGTTCTTGGTATGACTTCCAGTGCTTTACCCACGGCACGGTATGGCCACTGCTGGACGCCAGCAACTGACTTGGACTTTTCTGTCAAGGCCTGTGAAAAGCAAGCAAAAAACCTCATGACATTTATGCACAGTGCCTATCCATTAGTAGACAAACTAAAACCTGGTTCAAATGGCAACAYGACTACATTGACATACAAACTTTTGTTTAGTATGATGTTGATTGCTGGTCTTTGCCGAGCTGCTATTACRATATACAATTCWTTGTAAAACTTACATGTGCAAGAGCCATTTCACAAGCTCCACCTCCAGGAACAAGTCTAGGATCAGTAATCACATTACGAGCAACATTCATAGCATCTTGAAGATTCCTTTCAACCTGCAAAATGATGAAATACAGCTAGTTTTTTGGGGAATGTTTTGTGTTTTATATGATTGCTAAATATCACTGTTTAATCATAATATGTAAGTCATCAAGTTCTTGACTGACCTCATGTAAGATATCTTTACTTGCTCCTCTAAGTAGAATAGTACAAGCCTTGGGGTTCTTGCACTCAGTAATAAAAGTGAAGTATCTAAAATAATGAATGAATAAATAAATGATTGGATAAATAGATGGATAAATAAATAAATAAAAAGATGGAGGGATGGCCAGAGGGAGGTAGGAAGTGATGGAGGGTTGCATTGAGAGGGGAGTGGTGTATGTATTGAGGGAGGGATGGCCAGAGGGGGGAGGAAGGAATGGAAAGTGGGTTGCATTTAGGGGGGGAGGAGGAGGAATGGATTCACAAAGTGAGAGAGGGAGGGAGGGAGTGAGAAATGGAAGGATAGAGTAAGTGGGAGATGAAGGGATGGATGGATGAATAAATGGAAGAATGACTGAATGAAAATAAATATATGGGAATGAAAGAATGATCCAGAGACAGGGAGACATGAAAAGTGAAGTTATTCTTATAGACTCACTCATCTCCAAATTTATTGATTTCAAAAAGTCCAGCTCCAGTTCCAACATCTTCTTCTTTCAATTCATCAGTCCTGTTGACAATAGTGGCTCCACAMGCTCTAGCAATCCTGTTATTGTCAGTTTTTCTTACTCTTCGAATTGCTGATATGTCAGCTTTCATCAGGAAATGCTGGGCAAGATCTGCACATGAGAAATAGCATTTCAGACAATGAAACCCCAAAACATCAAGACTTGTGTTTACAGTTGGCAGCACTATCTTGAAAGTAGCATGATATATACCTCTTGTATTTTATTATTTCAACAAACCTGATATTCCTTTCTCAGTGATRACCAAGTCAGGTTTCAAAGCAATGACTTCATCACATATTTTCTTGATGTGTTCCTCTTCAAGTTGGAGAATTCGACTGTTTAAACAAGACAAATTATTATCTTTAATCACAACTAGTTATACCAATAAACAAACCTTGTAATAGATATTTCATAACTGATCAAACTACTGGAAACTTACTTGAAATCCATTTCTCCAGAAATCTCTAGACTTGTCTAAAAAATGAATAAAATACAAGCCATATGTAATTAAATATTTTAAGGAATTAGGGTAAAATTTATCCACTGAAAGATGATAGAGTACCTGGCTCTCTCCTTTCTTGTATTCAAGAGGACAATCAAGGAGAATGATTCTTGGGTTTTCAATGCGCCTGAATA